AGTGGCATGATCATGCAGCCTCGACCTCTCAAGCAGTCTTCCCACCTCAACCTCCCAGGCAGCTGGCACTCAATATGTGAGCCACCACATCTATCTAATTGGTTTTTTGTTTTTTGTTTTCTTTTTTTTCAAGGTGGAGTTTTGCTCTTGTTGTCCAGGCTGGAGTGCAATAGCGCAGTCTCAGCACACTGCAACCTCTGCCTCCTGGATTTAAGCAATTCTCCTACCTCAGTCTCCTTGAGTAGCTGGGACTACAGGCATGTACCACCATGCCCAGCTAATTTTGTAGTTTTAGTAGAGACCAGGTTTCTCCATGTTGGTCAGGCTGGTCTCGAACTCCCGACCTCACGTGATCCGCCTGCCTCAGCCTCCCAGAGTGCTGGGGTAACAGGCATGAGCCCCTGCCTGGCCAAATGTTTAATTTTAAAGTAAATATGCATATGTTTTGTGGGTGCCTGCTGAAACTGTTTTTTTTTTCATTGAGACAGGGTCTCATTCTGGAGTGCAGTGGCATGATCATGGCTCATTGCAACCTCGACCTCCTGGGCTCAAGTGATCATCCCCCTTCAGCCTCCTGAGTAGCTGGGACCAAAGGCACATGCTACAACGCCCGGCTAATTTTATTTTTTGTAGAGACAGGGTCTCTCTTTGTTGCCCAGGCTGGTCTTGAACCCCTGGACTCAATGACCCTTCCACCTCGGCCTCCCAAAGTGCTAAAAAAAAAAAAAGTTTCAAACCTGGATGTGGTGGCTCATGCCTGTAATCCCAGCACTTTGGAGGCCAAAGTGGGAGGACTGCGTGAGGGCACCTTTCACTCTGCAAGGGAGGGACACGCACAGTAAGTGGAGGGGCAGGGGAAAGCGGGGCTGCTCCCAACAGCAGCCTTTAAAGGTACAGTCTCCCCCATCGGCCAGGCACCAACGGACACTGGAAGGGTCTTCATGCTTATTTCTAGGCTGCACCTGGTGACCACAGAGGTCCCCTTTCACTATAAAATACAGGAACCTCCTTTGAAAGGGCATACACAAGGAGGGCAAGAGTCACTGAGAACCACAGTGAAGGTCTAGGGCCCTGGGCCTTCAGATGCACCTGGCGAGGGGGCTGGAAAGCCAGGTTCCTGGGCCATCCCTGGAGATCCTGATGATCCTGTGCAGACACCTGGGCCGTGAGCATGCCCTTCCTGGGCATGAGGGGCTCCTGGCAGGGCCTGCTGAAGCCCCACCGAGAGTCTCATCCCACAGTCAGCCAGCCATCACCCGGATCCCAGCACACACTCTTTCGAGTGGTGGGGGCAGTGCCTCGTCCAGGCTGAGTAGGGCACAGGTTCTCAGGGGCCCTTGGCTGATATGTCCCCAGGACCAGAAGCGGATGGAGAAGATCTCGAAGCGGGTGAATGCTATTGAGGAGGTGAACAACAACGTGAAACTGCTCACAGAGATGGTAATGAGCCACAGCCAGGGCGGCGCAGCAGCCGGTAGCAGCGAGGACCTCATGAAGGTGCGCCCGCCTCCCCTACTCCCTGCCCACTCCACAGTCCACTCGGGCCCTGACCCGCCCACCCTGCTGCCCTCAGGAACTGTACCAGCGCTGTGAGCGGATGCGGCCCACGCTCTTCCGACTGGCCAGCGACACAGAGGACAATGATGAGGCCTTAGGTGAGCCCAGGGCAGATGCTGAGGTCAGGTCCCCTACTCTCCCTCCACCTCCTACCCCCACTTCCCCAAGGCCCTGCTAAGTAACTGCAGTTGGAAGGAGCCACCACCAGGGGGCCCTCTTCTCCAGCACCGACCTTGGGTTTCTCCACTCTGAGGATACAGAGCAGGGGCCGCCCGCTGTTGAGAGGCCGTGTGGGCCAGCCCCCTTCACGGCATCTCATTTACTGCCAGCAGCTGCACAGGAGGCAGAACCGTCCCCTTTCACAACTGGGACTAAGGGAGGGAAATAACTTGCCCAGATCACAGAGCAGAACAGTGGCAGAGCCAGGGAGACGGAGGGCCATCTGCCCCAGACCCTCCTCCTGGTGAGGGAGAATGGAAACTAAGAGTGCATCCCACAGCCCGGGCAGTTCCAGACCTGAGCCTGAAGGCTTATGCCAAGGCCACATACCAGGTTCTTTTCCTTGATCTCTGCCCACATGTCAGTCCAGGCTACTTGGGCTGCGGTCTGGGTACCCTCCACTCCCTCGTTAAGTAGGAGATCCACCCACAAGGCTTGCTGCCCAGATTGCCCCATGCCCTGGCACCCGGAGAAGCAGTGTTGCCAAGGGCCTGATTGGTACCAGGCACTGTTCTAGGCCCTCAGGGATGTGGCAGTGATCAAAGTTGGCAGAAGGCTGGGCGCAGTGGTTCACACCTGTAATCCCAGCACTTTGGGAGGCAGAGGTGGGACGATTGCTTTAGGCCAGGAGTTCAAGACCAGCTTGGGCAACATAGTGAGACCTCATCTCTATTACAGATATATTTATATTTAAAAAAAAAAAGGTTGACAGAAGCTTCCTCATGGTAGTTTAGTGCAAGGAGGCAGACAGTAACCAAGTCCATGATCATTACAGTTTGTCACGGTGGTAAGCGGCATGGAGGAAGATAAGGGACGGGATGAGGTAGCACAGGAGGGGGTTAGCACAGGCCTCCTGAGGTGACCCTTGGGTGAAGACCTGAAGGCAGTAAGGGATGAAGCCAGGCAGAGAACAGAGCTGGAGCGGAGGCCTAGAGGCGAGAGCGGGCCCAGCATATTCAGAGGCAGCCAGGCAGTGAATGAGGGGCGGGTGGGAGGTGAGACCAGGGAGGTAGTGGAAGGCCACAGTCTCAGCGGAGAGATGGGATGTTCCCCTGCCCCATCCCTTCCCCTCACACACAGGCCGTGATGGATGTGGGGTGCTCGTCTCCTGCCACCCAGAGGCCCCCACAGTCCTTCAGCCTGGCCTCTCCCCTCCTGCCTGTTCAGCTGAGATCCTGCAGGCCAATGACAACCTCACCCAAGTGATCAACCTGTATAAGCAGCTGGTGCGGGGCGAGGAGGTCAACGGTGACGCCACAGCCGGCTCCATCCCTGGTGAGGAGGTGGCAGAAGAGCTGGGAGGGGACCCATCAGGCTGGAGGGGCACGAAGAGTGTAGGGTGGTGTGCTGGTCTCCAAGCTGCTGGACTGACTGCCAGGGTGACCCTGGCCCCTTAAGATGGGGAAGGCCCCAGGGAGGGAGCTTGGGTGAAGTCTGTGCCAAGCACGCAGCTGTGGGGAAGCAGTCTGGATGTGGGAGAGCGGGGGAGCTGAGGGTTTGGTGAGGACAGGCAGTAGAAGGGGTAGAAGGAAGGCTTTCTTTCACTCGACAAATCTGGCACCTGTTGTATAGTGCTGGGCAACAGCCCCAAGGCTGAAAGTGGGAGGGGTTAGGGAAGTACGCATTACAGACCCAGTTCTAATAAGGGTAAGATGGCAGCCTTGGGGGCCACAGAAGGAGTTAGAATTGGTTCTGTTGGGGAGAAGTGGGGATGGAGGCGCTGCACGCAAGCAGCCAAGTTTCGGCAGGACCTTTAGGATGAAGGATGGGTAGCAATTTGCCCAGTAGAGCTCAGAAGGAAGTACATTCTGGACAGAAGTACCAGCATGTGCCAAAGACAGGTCCTGTTGAGCAGCTTCCAGGCAGGGGCTGGGTGGCCAAGGACGGGGAAGCAGGAGACCAGTGGTAAAGCATGAGGGTTAGGTGTTGCTCCCCACAACCCTGTGGACTCCGAGAGACATGTGTACACCCAGGACTTGCCAGCCTCTTCTTTCCCACCCCAGGGAGTACCTCGGCCCTGCTGGATCTCTCAGGTCTGGATCTCCCACCTGCAGGCACCACCTACCCAGCCATGCCCACCCGCCCTGGCGAGCAGGCCAGCCCCGAGCAGCCCAGTGCCTCAGTTTCCCTGCTTGATGACGAGCTCATGTCTCTGGGTGAGGAAGGGGCCAGGCCTGGAGGAAGGCGGGCTCGGCAGCAAGTGGGGCATGATCCCAGGACGCACTCGCAGCTGGAACACCAGCACCATGTACCGTGGGCTTGAATCCTGTGGGCCACGTGGATGGGCATTAGGCCCATTTCACAACTAAGGCTCGGGGAAGGTAGGGAGCTTGTGCAAGGCCACACAGCCAGAGGGTGAGGCTGGCAGCCTCTAAGCCAGCATTCAGGCTCTGGCAGCCGGGGGGAGCCAGGGGATTTCCCTGCAACAGGTTAGAGCCTACAGTTGGGAACTTTCTGGGCAAAAGTTCAGCAGTTTCTTTATCCACCAAGAAGAGAGAGAGGGCTCTGGGCTCCCTCTGGGCTCCACAGCACCAGAGACTCCAGAGAAGCTGAGGCCCCGGCACAAGGGACTCGGTGATCTAAGCTGGTCCAGGGCCAGGCCTGCTGTTACTCTTGGCAGGCTTAGGCCCCAGAGCTCAGCAGGGACCAGGCTTACCCTGGGGAAGAAGCAAAGTGGTCCCAGCTGGCTTCAGGGCAGCAGCCCCGTCTGAGAGCTGAGCTGCAGAAGAGCCTCCTCCTCAGAGCCGCTGAAGGGATGAAGAGCAGAGATGTTAGGCCCGATCAAAGGACTCCTCAGGGATGTATTGGAAGCCAAGATTCAGACTGTGGTCTCCCGAGCCAGTTCTGAAGCAAAAACCAGGCCTGAAGGCCTTGAAGAAGCAATGGGAGCCCAGGCCGCCCTGGGTGGGGTCTGCCTGGGTTCCAGGAGGGCTTCCTTAGGTGCAGTGCCCACTGCTGCACTCTGTCCTGTCTTAGACGACCCTCACAGTCCCCACAGGCAGGTGCCGTGAATAGCCCCCCTGCATGATGAGGAGATGGCAGCATAGAAAGGTGCGGTGGCTCACGCCTGTCATCCCAGCACTTGTGGGAGGCCGAGGCAGGCAGATCACCTGAGGTCAGGAGTTTGAGACCAGCCGGGCCAACATGGTGAAACCCCGTCTCTACTAAAAATAGAAAAATTAGCTGGGCGTGGTCACGTGTGCCTGTAGTCCCAGCTACTGGGGTGGCTGAGGCAAGAGAATCACTTGAACTGGGGAGGCGGAGGTTGCAGTAAGCCGAGATCATGCCATTTGCACTCCAGCCTGGGTGACAGAGCAAGACCCCATCTCAAAAGAAAAAGACTGTGTGACTTGTGCAGAAAGGGCTCCAGGACTTGAGCTAGGCTCTGATCCTGAAGCCACACTCTGAGCTGCTCTGCTGCTGTGACTCATTGTCCATAAGCAAATAAAGGGAAATGACCTGGGGTGTGGAGGGAGAGCTGAGGGAAGGAGGCCTGGTTGTGAGTCCCCTTGTGAACCCACCAGCCAGCACCCTCCCTGAAGCCGCTTACGAGCCCCACACAGCTGCCCCCTCTTCATTCAGAGCCAAGGGTGACCTCGGGGAGAAGACCTTTACCCCATTCTACAGAGGTAAAGAATGGTCAACAAACGCTTCCACAAGGTTTACCTTCCCCTGTGGAGCCAGCCCTGGGCGGCAGCCACCTGAGCTGCAGTTGGTGAGTAGGGAAGCACTGCGGGACCACCAGACCCTTGCAGGCAGCCGCAGTGCCACCGCCACAGGAGAAGCGAGGTGCAAGCTGCACTTCCTGTCCCCGAGCCGCATCGGCAGAGCCCTGAGCCACCAGCTTCCTTCTGGTTTTCTCTCAGAGGCAAAGTGTGGGGGCGTAGGAGCCAGAAGTGCCCGGGCAACCTGCAGCCTGGGCCTGGGGAGTAGAGGAGGCCCTGGGGCCGCAGAGGGGCTTGTCCCCACTGCTCTCCATGGCAGGGTGGGACAGGGTTCCTGTCTGTCAAAGAGGGTGTTCAGGCAGCCTCCACCTCTCCCGTCTCAAGCGATCCTCCCACCTCAGGCTCCTGAGTAGTTGGGACTACAGGTGTGTGCCACCACACCTGGTTAATTTGTTTCTTAAAGACACAGGATTTCCCCCTTGTTGGCCGGGTTGGCATTGAACTCCTGGCCTCAAGTGATCTGGCCGCCTCGGCCTCCTAAAGTGCTGGGATGACAGGCTTGAACCACTGCGCCCCCCTCTCTTTCGTTTTGAGATGGGGTCTCACTACATTGCTCAGGCTGATCTCAAACTTCTGTCCTTCGCTAATCCTCCCATCTCAGCCTCCCAAGTAGGTGGGACCACAGACATTGGCTAATGTTGTCTGAGCTTATCTCAGACTCCAGCTTCAGTCTCCCAAATAGCTGGGATTACAGACATTAGCCACTGCACCTGGCTGCTGTCTCCATTTTGAAGATGAGGCTGCCTGCCCCCCGCACCCCCCCCACCCCCGCCGCCAGTATCACATGGCCAAGTGTCAGAGTTGTGTTCAGATGGTGGCAGTCGGGCCATGTTCAGTCCAAGTCCAGACTCTGCCACTTTCCAGCTGTGTGACCTTGGGCAGGTTACTTAACGCCTCTGGGTCCATTTTCTTATCCTAAAAGAGGGCTGAGAACCTTGCCCTTCCCTTTGAAGGTTGTTTGAGGATTAATCAAACAACCTTCAAAGCATCTACAGGGCCTGACACATCCAGGGCATCATCAGTGCACTTGCTCTCCAGCCTCTAAGAGGCACAGCTAGAAGAGACCCAGCTGCCCCAGCTTCCTGGTACTTTTGCCTTTGCCTGTCAGGTAGCGCTTCATATTGGACCTCACTTTTTCAGGATTTACTAGAAACAAGATCATTTATCTTCTCTAGGTCAGATCTGGGGTGAACTTGGCTGACAGTATTCCAGGGCAGGCAGAGGTCAGGCTGGCTGGTGACCTGCTGCCTCCTTCCCATCCACAGCTAATTCCAGGGCCATCCACAGGATCCCCCTCCCTCTGTGGTACCAGTGAGCCTCATTGGCACATACCAAGGCCGACAGGACCTTCAGCATTGCCCCCAGTCAAGCCCTGTCCTTGTACTCAGGGGGACGCTGTGGCTCAGCCAGCATGGTGTTTAGCCCACAGTCACGCAGCAGGCGTCCCTTGAGTGGGCAGTTGGCCTCAGGCGGGCACAGAGCTGCTCTGTGCTGCCAGCCAGCGAGTGAAGATGAAAGTCCTGATGTCTGTTTTCTGTGTGCACAGTAGCTTCAGAGTGGCCTGGTTGAGAAGAGGGGAAGCATGTGTGGGGTCACCACCAGGGGCTACCAGGATCTTGGTTTCTAGTTCTGCTCTGCTGCTGGTTGCTTCTGAAGGCGTGGGTTTCTCCCCTCCATATGCAGCCTCAGAAAGGGGGCAGGGAGCCCCACGCCGGCACACATGCCCCTTGGCGCTCTGGCCTCTGCAGGGGCAGCCCAGTTCCTTCACCTCTCTCCTGCTTTCCCCTCAGGCCTCAGTGACCCCACACCCCCTTCAGGCCCAAGCCTGGATGGTACCGGATGGAACAGCTTCCAGGTAGGAGGGGACTGCAAACTAGCCTGGCCTCTTAAAGTCCCAGGGTCAGGGCAGCTGGGACAGGCGGCCTGGGGAAACTGAAAGCATGGACGGGCTCTGCCAGAGGGTGGCCAGGGGCCTGGAGACACCCACCCAGGGAAGAGGCCCTCTCCTTACTTCCAGCATCGGGGCTGCAGCCCAGCCTTTGGGATTGAGATGGGTGATCCCTCTCTTCTTGAGGGTGACAGAGGTCCCTGGAATGTAGAACCCCCAACCAGACCCAGCCACCCTGCATCATGGACTGGGTAGTCTGGGGTCCCCGCCTCTGTGGCTGCCTTCCCAGGTGTCATCTGCAAGGAGGACACTGAGCCTCAGGGCAGGTTCAGGTGGCGCCAATGCCTCTAGACAGTCCTGCCCACCTGCATCCTTTGCCCCACAGTCGTCGGATGCCACTGAGCCCCCAGCCCCTGCTCTGGCCCAGGCCCCCAGCATGGAAGGCCGACCCCCAGCGCAGACATCCCTGCCAGCAAGCAGCGGTCTGGATGACCTAGACCTCCTGGGGAAGACCCTCCTGCAGCAGTCTCTGCCCCCGGAGTCCCAGCAAGTGCGGTGGTGAGGGCCCACCATGGCCGGCATGGGGTGGGGAGCACTCCCTGTTCCAGCAAACCAGCAGCTTCTCCTGGGCTTGTCCGGGCCCAGCAGGGAGAGGCTCATTGCTGGTTTGTTCTAGAAGCAGCAGATTCCAAGCACTACACCAGCCTCTGGAAACACAGCAGTGCCCAAGGCAGCCGAGTGCCCCTCTCACAGAGCACAGGGTTTATGAGACAGAGAGATCTGGGCCCAGTGGCCTGGCCTCTCCCAGGCATTCCCAACTCCCTAGAGAAAGGCCAAAGGCCCAGAGGGCCAGCAGCAGGGAGGACACTGGGCTGAAGTGAGCAGGGGGGGTGCAGGGTGGAGGGAGAATGAGCTGCTCCTTCTAAAGGTGAGAAGACCCAAGGCCAGAGAGACAGCTGTGCATCAGGGACAGAGCCTGGAAGCCCAGCTTTTCCTGTGCCCCTCTTAATCACCAAAGAATCACTTCTTTTTCTTTTTTTGAGAGGGAGTCTGTCACCCTGTCACCCAGGCTGGAGTGCAGTGGCGTGATCTCGGCTCACTGCAACCTCCATCTCCCAAACTCAAGCAGTCCTGAAGTAGCTGGGACCACAGGTGTGCACTACCACGCCCAGCTATTCTTTTTAATTTTTTTATACAGACGGGGTTTCGCCATGTTGCCCAGGCTGGTCTCAACCTCCTGAGCACAAGCGATCCGCCCACCTCAGCCTCCTAAAGTGTTGGGATGACAGGCACGAGCCACCACGCCTGGCCAAGAATCACTTCTTAATGCACTGTCCCCCGATTAAGGGAGAAGCAGCAGCCAGCCCCCAGGCTCACACTCCGGGACCTGCAGAATAAGAGCACCAGCTGCAGCTCCCCCAGCTCCAGTGCCACCAGCCTTCTCCACACTGTGTCCCCAGAGCGCCCTGGGCCTCCACAGCAGCCCACACCAACCGAGCTCTCACTGGCCAGCATCACTGTGCCCCTGGAGTCCATCAAGCCCAGTGAGTAGGGCTGGGGCAGGCGCAGGCTGGGTGGGGTCAGCTCGCTGCCCTGTCGGGAGCTCTGTCTGGGGAAGCTGCTGGGAAGGTGGGGCCTCCCCTGGCTCTGCCACTGGCCAATCAGTGGGAAGCTCTGAGCAGAGCCCTCCCCTCCCCAGGAGTCACTCCTTATCTGCCCCAGAGCAGTCATAGGACTGCTGTATAAACTCCAGGCTTACACAAGCAAGACAGCCTCTTAGGGAGTGTACCCTGGGCCTCTTCCTCCCCAGGAAGGCAGGGCCCAGGACACAAAGAGGTTTGGAGTGTCTCCCAAATTACAGAATAAAGACCCAGATCCAAAGCTGGGCTTTTCCAGCCCAGGAGCAGTAGGGAGACCATGACCCAGCCCCCGGCCCGAGCAGACATATGGGGTCTGGTGGTCCTCTCAGCATTGCCCTCTGTGAGTTCCCTGTGACCAAAGATACCACCCCCTGACTATCCCCCAATCGTGGGTAGAGCTGTACCTCTCACCTGAGCTCTGAGAAGGCAAGTGACTGGGGGTGAGCTTCACCCTCACCCAGAGTCCCTCGCCCCAAGCAGTCCAGGAAGCAGCCACACAGCACCAGGGGAACTTGGGCAGTGACTCAGCTCTGGGGTGGGTGTCCTGCCTCCACTGTCAGACTGGGGGTTCATCTGCCCTCTCTGGGCACCACTCTCTGCCCTGTCTGCACCGCCACCCAGGACCCAGGTAAAGCCCCGAGGGAGGCCAGCAGCCAGCACCTGAGGTGAGCCGGGTGGGGGCTGAGCGGCTGCGCTCCAGCTCGCTGTCCCATTGCCCTCCCACCTTCTCCCGCAGGCAGCATCCTGCCTGTGACTGTATATGACCAGCACGGCTTCCGCGTCCTCTTCCACTTTGCCCGCGACCCACTGCCAGGGCGCTCCGACGTGCTGGTGGTGGTAGTTTCCATGCTGAGCACCGCACCCCAACCCATCCGAAACATTGTGTTCCAGTCAGCTGTCCCCAAGGTGACAAGCCAGGCAGACAGGGCATGCCTCTCCTCTCTCAAGGCAGGCTGACTTGGGGCTGGGTGGGGAGCCACTGGCAGGGGGCAGGTCTCCCTCCCTTGCTGGGTGGTCCGGGGGTGGAAGGGACCTAAAGGACTGAGCCCCAGGACCCCCAGAGGGGAGCTGGCAAGCTGGGCTTGTTCCTCAGAGCAGCAGAAGTGGCCAGGGCTAGCTGTGCCCATCCTGCCCTCTGCCCACAGGTTATGAAGGTGAAGCTACAGCCACCCTCTGGCACAGAGCTGCCGGCGTTTAACCCCATTGTCCACCCTTCAGCTATCACCCAGGTCCTGCTGCTTGCCAACCCCCAGAAGGTGAGGGACCCCCAGGGTGGTGCTGCAGGGTGGGGGCGGCCGCTTCTCCTGCTCTGACCCCTCTGCCTCGACATCTCTGCCCCAGGAGAAGGTTCGCCTCCGCTACAAGCTCACCTTCACCATGGGCGACCAGACCTACAACGAGATGGGGGATGTGGACCAGTTCCCCCCACCCGAAACCTGGGGGAGCCTCTAGAACAGAGAGGGGCTGGGGAGAGGAAGGGGCAGAGGGACCGGTCACTGTCAGCCTGGAGGGAGGCAGTGGTGGCCAGGGCCACCCTTTGCTGCCCATGGTCATTCACCCCCAGGCCTGGTGCTTCTCCCCACACCTCTGTAGCCCTCAAGTGACTCTTCCCCCTCCTATTCCGCCCCCTACCCCTGCTGAGCCAAACCCAGTAGGAGGCTGGGCCTGGGTTTGTGCTGCTGGGGTCTCCATCACCGGGACCTGGAGAAGGAGGGGCTGCGTGGCCTTGGAAGAACTTGGGGTCATGGGGAAGAAGCATGGCTGTCGGGGAACGGCCAGGACCTCAGGCCAGCCCCAACCCCAGCTGGGGTGGGCTCTTCCCCGCCTGTCTCTTATGCCTTATGGGAAGGCCCAGCCATAATTCGGGGGTCATGCTGGAGCTGGGGATCAGCTCAGGCCTCCTCCATAGGAACCTGGTGACTGGGGTGACGCCTGCACCCCCAGCTGTTTGCACTCTGGTGTGTGGTTTGACTCTGCTTTTCTTCCGGATTGGCCCTATGGTCACAGCCTCAGGGGGCCAGGCTGGGGGATCCCCACCCGGCCCCTACTCCTCCTGGGGGTCTCACTTTGCCATTGGGCCCCCTGAGAGATTATGGGGGCCCAAGGGTAATGCCAGAGGCTTGTGGTCCCAGCAAGGGGATCTGGGGGTCCTAGAGTTCTCAGTGTGTCTCCTTCATTCATTCATTGGCCTCTGCTGGGGCCTCCTATGGGCGTCTCACGTCTGTCCATCCATCTGTCCGTGGTCAGAAGTGGGGTCAGTGTGTGAGTGAGAGCAGGAGTATTTATGAAAATAAAACTTCGTTTTTCCTGGACCAGCTGCTCTCGTGGCCCTTCAAAGGTTGAGGGAGACAGGAGGGGTCAAGTTCAGGGTCCCTGGGGCTGCCCTGTAGAGCTCTCTGCTTCGTCTTTGGAGGTCAGGCCGTGGGCCCCCTCCCCACCATCCCTGGGCCCTGCACAGGAAGAGGCCCTGCAAAGGGGCCTGTGGCCAGTGCTGAGTCACCAGACAGGGCCCTGGGCTGTGGCGGGCCAGGGCCGTCCCAGCTGGAAGCAAGGGAGCGCCAGGGCCTGGCAGGAGCCCTAGCTGCTGCAGATGCTGAGGGGGAGGCCCCTGGCTGCTTACAACTTCCTCCTGCTGTGCTCAGCCCTCCACACCAGCTCGATGCTGCAGCTCCTGGGAGGGAGATCGGAGCCCAGCTTCTCCCTCTCCCCAGATGGTCCTAGGAAGCCCTGCGACAGCCACAGTTTTTCCATGCAGACCCAGGGACCCGGAGCTGGGCCCCCTTCCTCTCCCAGCGGCAGCTCTACCCCACGTAGTGCTATCAGAGCTTTCTCCAACCAGGAGACTGGGGTTCAGGCTCAGATGTGGCTTTGAGGCCACACAGCTGAGAGAGCCCTCTGGCAAGGGGTCACTGCTCCGGGCAGAGGGCCCCGTTGTGTGGAAGGCCTGCCCTTCGAGAAAGCAGTCCCTGCTCAGATGAGTTGGGGGAAGCTGCCCGCGGCTTCTCCTGAGCTGATGAGCCCATAAAGACCCTGGGAAGTCCCTCATTTAAGAAGCCATTTTCACTTAGTCTAGTTTCCCAGTAAGAACTTGGCGGCTGAACCCTTCTCCTTAGATACCGTTGTGACAGTTGGAGAATTGCCCGGCGCGCCTGCCCCCCAACCCTGCGCGCTCTCTTAACACCATCCGCAAGCAAGGCCCCCTCTCTGCGGGGCCTGCCCTGGAAGTGCAGGCTGAGAGCCCCTCCCCGTCTGCCTTAGTGCTGAGGGGACAAGACGCATTAGCTGTGCCCTGCAGGAGCCTCCTATCAGGTTCCTGTAGCAGGACTCCCACCCTGGCACAGCCCCTGGAGGCTTCCAGACACCCTGTCCCAGCCACGTGGCCTCGTTCCTGTTTGCCTACCACCCCTGCAGGACTCGCCTCCACACTTGTGATGTCTCCCGAAAATAACTCCAGCTGGAAGTTTCTTCTACCTGGAATGAAACCGTATTGCCTGCAGCATTCACCTGGGTGCCCAAGCCCACCTGGAGCACAGTCTCGTCACTGACCATGGCAGGGAGGGGTACAGCCGGCGTGGGGAACAGGTGGGACTGTGAGTGGGGAGTCTGGGGCTGGTTCTGGCTGGGTCACTGGCTTGCTGTGTGATTTTGAGGAAGGTGCTTTCCTTGCTGGAAAAGGGGAGAGGGACTCAATAAGCTATAAGGCCTGACGGAGGAGTCCTTAGGCAAAGGAGCCAGGCTGTCAGCTTTGGAGTGACCCAGCTGTTCTGGGGACAGGGAGGTAGGGGTCCCTTCAGCCTTCCCAACAAGAACTTGGCAGCTGAACCCCTCTCCTTTGATACGGTTGTGACAGCTGGAGAATTGCCCGGCGCGCCCACCCCCCAGCCTGTGCGCTCTCTAACACTATCCGAAAGCAAGGGGCCCCTCTGCCGCCCCTTCTCCCTTGCCTTACCCTTAACCCACCCATCCCCTCAGTCATGCCAGTGTTTCTTGAGCAGCCCCTGGGCCAGCCCCATCCCAAGAGTTCACAAGCTGGCAAGGACTTGTGAGCCAGTGTGGCACCCTGAGAGCAAAGACATGAGGTACCACAGGAGCCCTGCATCTGCCTGAGAGTCTGGGGTGCGGGTCTAACCAGAGGAGAGGGCCCTGGGCCTCACTCCCTGCAGGAGCCTTCCCCACATACCGTGTTGGCGCACACAGTCCGGGCCGCTGCACTCTGCAGTCTCGGGCTGGGATGCGGTGCACTGGGGGACGCGTTCAGTGGTCTCTTGAAGGGTGACCCCACCCCGGTGCCATGCCAAGAGCAGTGGGACTTCCCAGACCTCGGAGCCACACTTCCACTTCTGTTGGTTTGGCTGAGGCAGCAGTTAATTTTGGTTTTCAGCAGCCGCAGCACACTGCTTCTCTGTTTATGGCGGCCAGAAGTGGCGAGAGCCTGGGAGCCTGCCCCTGCCTAGTCAGTTTTTTGGTTTTTGTTTAAGGCAAGGTCTCTCTCTGTCACCCAGGCTGGAGGGCAGTGTTGTGAACCCAGCTCCCTGCAGCCCGGACGTCCTGGGCTCAGGCAATCCTACCCCCTCAGCCTCCTCAGTAGCTGGGACTACAGGCATGCGCCACCACGCCCAGCTAATTTTATTTTTTATAGAGACGGGGTTTTGCCAGGTTGCCCAGGCTGGTCTGGAACTCCTGGGCTCAAGCAATCCACCTGCCTCAGCCTCCCAAAGTGCTGTGATTGCAGTGGCGGGCCACTGTGCCCAGTCTGCCTGGTCTCTCAACACGCCCCCTCCCCGAGTCTCTTTGGGCCTCCCAACCAGGGCACCAGTCCAGCAAAGCAGGCCAGAGAAGCCCCCAGACCTGGTACCACGGTAGACCTGATGCCTGCATTTTCCCGCCTTAAGCCTCTAACTGCCCTGTGAAATGGGAAGTGAGGCTCAGAGAAGTCGCACATTAGGCGCTGAGTCTGGGCCTGCAGTCTTGAGATGTCTACCAGATGGGACATTGCCCCCTACCTCCCAAGCCATCCCCCCCAGCCTCTGTCAGGCTGTCCTCTGGGGACTGGGCTCAATCCACACTCCTCCAGGGCTATCAGGATTAAAGTGGAGTCCTCAGGCCTCGGAGCCACCCCAGGATTTCCTGGAAAGTCCTTTGGGCTTGGGGAGGGAGGGGAGGGAGGTTTTAGAGCCCCCGGGGGTCTCATTGTGGCCCTGGGTGCTCTGGGAGGAAGTCCACACAGAGAGCAGCACTGCTGAATGCTATAAACAAGCAACTTGTCAGTGTCTCAAATGGGATGTTTTTGCTCCTGCAGCCCCTGCTGCTGACTCCTGCTATCACCACCACCCAGCCGCTGACCTCCCTGCCCACATCCTGCTCAAGCCTTACCAGCCCACGCTGCCCAGACAGCTTTCACAGACAAATCTGCACAGAGGCTGCCAGGCCCCTCAAAGCAACCACAGGGGTTGCTCCAAGCATTTCTGGAGCTCCCAGGCAATGCTGTCTGGGTCTGGCACACCAGGAGAGCCCATGTGGGCTTAGGAGACTGTCAGATCTGCTTCCTAGCTTGGCCTCTACTACTTTCCCAGCTGGGGACCAGGAGACAGAAGCCTCGGGCTATTCACCTGTAAAATGGGGACAGTGATACCAGCCTCGCCGGAGGATATGCTATAGCACATGACAAAAAGCCTCATTGTCCCAAAGCAGCTAGACACACACAGGGGTCACTGGGGCAGGAATGGGGGTAGGGAGTCTTTCCATTCCTGACTTGGCAAGCCGAATAATGATGGTGACAAGAAACAGCGCAAGGCACTTTTCTAAGCATCTGTCATACATTAATTCACTTAACCCTTCTATGAGGTAGATACTGTTGTTTCCAATTTACCAAGGAGGATGGATGCTGAGATTCAGAGAGGCGAAGTGTCCCACCTGAGGTCACCCAGCTAGTGAGAGCCAGAGCCTGGCCAGCTAGCTGCCTCCACACCCTTAAACTGTCTCTTTTCCTGCTGCCTGAGACCCTGTGACAGGCACACTGCTGGGCCCCCAAAGGTTCAGCAGGAGCCAGCTAAGACCAACCTGATAACCACCCAGGTCAACAGGCCCCTGTATTGGGGAAGGGTGCCAGGAGGGGTTGGCTGGGGACCTCTGCAGTCCCCCTTCTGTGTCTGCAGTTTAGAAAGGCCATGATTCCAACACCCACTGATGAACACTTCTGAGTTCGTAAGTCTGATTACAACACTCTTCTAAGAAGCAGCCCGTAACTAACTGAGCCGTTGGAGAGTCCATCCTTCTATGATTCAACATCCAAGTGTGACAAGGGAGGGCCTAAAATCTACCCATCACCCAGCTAGGAGGCACAGCAGACCTGCCTGAATCCGACTCAGACAAGCTGGGCACCTCTTGCCCAGGACCCTTGGGTCTGGCTGGAGGGGAATCTGGAGACCAGGACAGGGATGGGGATAACAGCTGAGCCTGATAATAAGGCTCTGGTAGTTTCCACCACAGCTACTGCTACAACCCACGTGTACTGACCCCTCCCCAGGACAGAGCTGGGCCTCTGGACTGGGCAAATCTAGGAGGGGCAAGCCAAGCCTTGCTCTCAAGGACCTTCGGACCAGTTAGAGAACAAGACAAGCCCAGGCCCAGTGTGGTCTGGGCTGGAGGCTTGGCTGGAACAGAGCGGGGGCACCACGTAGTCCAGAGGCTTTCTGAGGGACGGAAAGGATGGTACCTGAGGTTCCCTTACCATGCCACCCATAGTCACTGACCACGTTGGGAAAAGGGAGATGGGGGAGGGAACCTTGACTGGCATCTCATCCTGGCCTGAACTTTGATCCTGGAGCCTCCCAACTTCCCACCAGGATTCCAACCTCAGGTGGGCTCCCAGCTGGGAGGCTCTGGCCATAGCAGGCAGCTGTTATGAGGCTCCTCCCACCCTCAGTGAGGCCTGCCCATTAGGGAGGAGAGAAGCAGCCAGTGAGTGTGCCAGGCCCCGAGCTGGGCACAGGGAGTAGGGAGATGTCTGGGGCCAAGGTCCTGCTTCTGAGGTCTGCGGAACCCCGTCAGCGCTGGCACACGGTGGTTGCTCAAGTAGTCTCAAACTAAACTGAAACTAACAAAGCAAAGTGCAGTGGGTGTGGCAGGACTCTGCGGCACACCCTCCCCTCTTCCCCACCACCGCGGCTCCTGATGCCACAGGGGTTCGGGGTAAGGAGAGCCTGCTGTTTCCCAAAGGCTCTCACATCTTGTACAACCAGCAGTTATGGAGCACCTACTGTATGCCTAACTGTGTTGAGTGGAGAGCCAAAGAGAACTAGTGAGTTTGGGGGGGTCACAGCAGCACCCACATCATTGCTCTACAAGAGGAAGGGGCACTGAGGCTGTTTGCCAGGAGGAATGAGAGGTGATGAGCTTCACCAGTGGAGCAAACTGCCGCGAGATGCGGAGAGCCGGGTGTCGGGGAACTGCTCTGGGAGGGTTCCTGGTGGCTGGAGGGTGGCACACACCTCCTTTAAAGGGAGCAGGCAGAGGTGTCTTGTCCATTCTGCTGGATGGGCAGGCCCCGGGCAGCTGGCCCATCAGACCATTACAGGGACTTGTCCACAGCCACACAACAGCCCGTGGCCCCAGGAAGCCAAAGCTCCCAGTCAGTCATCCAGCAGCTGGGGGGTTAGTTCTGGGGGGACCAGAGGTCCTCCGAGGGAGGGAGAGCAGGCAGCATCCCCTGCAGGCCCAGAGCGGCTAGACAGGTCAGAAAGGCCTACCCCTCCTTCGCGCGGCACCCTCTTTCTCCTTTGCGAGGGGTGCAAAGGTTGTTTATACCCCGGGCCGGCTGGCTGCGGGCGGGGCAGGCACCCTGCTTGGGGCGGGCTGCGGGCGCGGGGGCAGGAGCGGGCTTACCTGCTTCCCGCCACCGGGGCGGGGCGGGGCGGGGCGCCGCGGGGAGGAGCCGGGCGCCACCTGTGGACGGCCGGCGGCCGGCGGACACTCAGCGGCGGGGGCCCGGCCGGGGGTCGCCGGGGGCCCGGAAGCCGGGGGAGAGCGCGGAAACCAACTTGGAGAGAGGAGTGACCTGGGGGCCGGGGGCGGAGTCGTGAGCGGGGGAGGAGAGAGCCGGCCGCCAGCGAGATCCGCGCGGCGGCCCAGGAAGCGAGAGCGCCGCCCACCCATCCGGGGCGAGAGCCGCGCCGCGGGAGAGGCAGGCTGGGCCGGGGGCTGCCCAGGCCTGCGACCCCCCGCCGTGACCCCGCAGCCCCCAGCCCGCCCCCAAGATGATGAAGAGGCAGCTGCACCGCATGCGGCAGCTGGCCCAGACGGGCAGCTTGGGACGGTGAGTGTCACCCCTTCTAGCCCCCACTCTTACCCCGCAGGACCTGAGGGGGCGTAAAAGGGTGGGGGGAGACGGGGGTGGGGGAGGCTGGGGAGAGCTGGGCAGACCCCTGTGAGCGGCCAGAGTCCTGCCTTCTCCTCCTCCCTTCTGAACGGCGTCCCCGTCTCGGGCAGAGCTGGAGGAGCAGGGGTGGCCTTTGGGGGGAGGGGTGCCCACCCCCTTTATCGGATTGGAGGGGGCTTCAGGCAGGAGAACGTGCTCTGCCCTAGGACGCTGGGACTTCTCTGCCTCCCTCCGTGAGTCTCTGAGTGGATGGTCCTCCTGGCCTCACTTGTCCCCTCTGGACAATGGGCCAGTTCACCATCTCCGCTTGCTGGGCTCGGGAGGGAGGAGGGTCGATTGGGGCCGCAGATCGGGGGCGGGGGAAGGAGTCGGGTCCTGGCCCGTGGGAGGAGGGTCCTGCCCCTGGCCTGCCGCGTCCCTTCCCCTCCCCACAGCCCTGGGGCCTCCTGCTTCTCTGTCTCGTTTCTGCTTTTCCCAGACTCAGGTGGAAACGTCCCCAGGTCTCCCAGCTCCCACCCCCACCCAGCCTTTGAGCTGCTGGCCGGGGGGCCGGAAGTTTGGGGAGCCTCTGAGGGCCTGTCTTCTCTGCTCCTCTTCCCCCAGCCTCAGGAGTTCCCCATTCTCTGGGCCCGGGGAGGGGACTGGGTGTCCAGAGACCTGGTTCTAGTCTCACACTAACCCAGATCCCTATGTAGCCTGGGCAGTCAGGCCATCTTGCCATGGGCCTCCGCCGTGTGTCCCCAGGTGGGGGGCCAAGGGCCCGTGCACCTCTGCCCACAGCCATAGTCCAGAGTGCTGTGTGACTGCGCCCAGGAGTCTGAGCTCCCCGACTTCCCGTTCTTGGGGCCAGCTAATCCTCCTCTTCCCAGGGTGGGCTGACGATTTGGGGGTGGGCAGAAGAGAGGCTTCTGTGTACCAAAGCTGAGCACTGGGCGGGTCTCCCAACCTCCTCTTCAGTTTTGTCTGCCCGCCTTCGCTCAGGACGGGGCTTTGGGTGGAGGAGGAAAAACCCAAGTATCCTATTCCCACCCCCATGGAATGTGCTCCGACCGGGATGAAGCAACAGGGCCACCCAGGGCGGGCCGCACCTGGGAGGGACATTGGAAGGACTGGGGTCCAGGTGGCCTGCTGCGGGGGTTGGGGGAGCAGGGGGCATCCTAACCCAGGCAGGCTCAGCAGAAGTGCTCTCCCTGCTCCCGC